GTTTGAGACATAAATAATGTGTGTCAGCCTGGCGCAGTGGTAGTGCTCGTCTCTCTCTCTCTTTCGCTCACCTCTAAGTCAGAAGGTTGTGGGTTCAAGCTCCACCTCAGCACTTGGAATCACATAGTCTAAAGTGAGGCTCCAACGCAGAGCTGGGGGTCTGTTTGCATTGTCAGAGATGCCGTCCTTCGGATGAGACATTAAACTGAGGTCCTATTTTTCTGTTCAGGTGGATGTTAAAGCTCCCGTGGTGCTATTGGAAATGAGAAGAGAGTTTCTCTCTCCTGGTGTCCTGGCCAACAATCCCCCAAATAAAATTGGTCACTCACTACACGACTGTATGTGGGACACTGCTGTGCGACTGGCTGCTGTCTTTCACCCGCAAAAACACAGTCACGACACTTCACAGTATACCCTGTGAAGCGCTTTGAGACATCCCAACAAAATGATAAGGCACTGCATCAAATGCAAGGATTATTGTTATTATTAATAATAATATTGACTTGTGTGTTAAACGCTCCTAGCTTGATATGTTTTTAGAACTCTTGGCCTGTTCAATTAGAGAGTCGTTTGATTTTTTGGGGTATATAATTGTTGACACCCGTTACACAGTCTCGCCATTACACTCATTTATGCACAGTAATGAAATAAGCTTAAAGTAGTAATTTGGGGGTTGTCTTCCCAATGGGCGAACCAACTTAACTCGATAAGAACTGCCTCCTTCCCCCATTTTACCCCCGAGATGTGAATCCCAGTGGCTGAGATTCCCATTGAGGTGTTTACCTACCAGGCATCTTGGATACAGTCGGTCGGACCTTTGCCTTAATGTGTGTACGTTTGTGACCATGTGATTCCTGCCACAAAGAAGGATAAACAGCTTGAGAATTTGTGGAACGTTTAACTGCTACTGGGATAAATCTCTGGCACGGCAACAGGAGGAAGCTATTCACTGTTACCACGATATCTACTTACCATGCTGTCTGTCGCTCACTTTTGAACGTCTCAGTCAACTCCACCTCTGGCCTTTTAAGCCATATTCCCAGGACCCTTTGTGTAAATTACTGGACTCCTCTTTCACCTCTTTCTTATCTTAAGTTTAAGGGAATTTTCCACTTGTCCTGGATTCCCCCAAATTCTTTCTCCATCTGTCAACCAATACCCTTCATTGGATGCATGGACGATCTTTGAATTATAATAATAATAATAATAATAATAATCCTTGCATTTGATATAGTGCCTTGTCACGGCTTCAAGGATATATACTAAAGTGGAGTGACTGTATTTTGTGGGTGAGTCCCAGATACAGTCGTGGATTGAGTGACCCCTGGAAAGTGATCCGCTAATCAACTAATACCCGGGTTCCTGCTTATTGCTCGGTAAACAGAGGCCAGTGAAGTAAGAAACCTGTTTGTAACTTGCCCGGGAATCGAACCCAGGACCTCTCGCTAGCAAAGCGAGTGCTCTAGCCACTATGCTATGGGAATCTGCAACTCAATAGCAATTAAGGCATAATTGTGTACGTGTTCATGCAGAATTGCGCAATGCAAACATCTTCATTTGGGAACTGCCTACTTTTTTAAAAAAAAGTGAGTTAAAGATTTTTTCAAAATTCTTTCAATTGTAAGACGCTGCTCCCTCTCTCTCTCTCTCTCTCTCTCTGTGGCTAACTTCTAAGTCAATTAAATCGGATCATTGTCCTGGGCAGCGATGCTCCATATCAATTAGTTATTCACTTGACAGTGTTGTGTGGAGCCTTGCTGTGCGCATTGTGACTGCAGCTTTTACTGCAAAAACACACAGCATTTCTGGCTGAAATTTTGCAATGTTACAGAAGCAAAAATGCCAGGATTGTTTTATCCCTTTGTATACCGGGCCACGGTCCTAGCTAGCGTTCATTTAGAAACATTAGATGTATAAAGTAGTCTCATATTCCTTTCTCCGAACATGCTCATGGGTGGAATGCAGTGCAGTGAGCCCAAGGCGCTCGCTCTCTCTCTCTCTCTCTCTCACACGGTGAAGTGGGTGTTTAATGCCTCAGAACCCATCACACTGCTCTCCCTTCACAACTTCAACTGCATCACTTCCTCCAGGGAGCACATTCCATGTGCAGTAAAAATTCTGTGGGCGAAACACAGCAGCCAATTGCACTTATCAGTGTCCCACAAACAATCATGGATTGAGTGACCAAATTCTGATTTATATTCTTTAAATTTGTTTTTTTGAAGGGATTATTATCCCCAGAAAAGCAATCCACCAGCTGACAAACAACCGGGTTCCTACTTCCTGCTCGGTATCGCTTATTTTTTGTGGGGGGGATGGGGGGGTCTGTCTGACTCACGCGGAAACCCATCACCGTTGCTTAAGAGTCTCCAAACCAAGCTGAGAATTCCATACATCCCTCCCACACATGGAAATCCCAGAGAGAGATTGTTGGAATGGAATGCGCTCTCTCTCTCCTCCCCCCCCCCCCCCAGGAGGAACGCATCCTGTTTACCTAATTCCGGAGAGTATTAGGCACAGGTTGACAAGAGCCAAGGCTTGGGGGCCCCAGAGTGTGTGTTGGGGTAACTGCTGGCGTCTAACCAGTTAAACGGCATAGTTTGCCATTGATATCACTATCTGGCCAGCTTTCCCGCTGGTTGTCCAGCTCAGACCACCCTACCCGTTATGGCTTTGGTGGCTGCAGGGTTCACAGGAGCTGAGGAGGAGGATTCTCGGACTGGTCACCGGGAAGAGCAGCAACCGAGCCACAAAAGCAAGAAATAAAACCTTTGATAATCCTGGCATTTGATGTAGCGCCTTATCAGGTCACCAAGACATCTCAAAGCACTTCACTGGATTTACTGTCAACTGCAGTGATGGTGTATTTTGTGAGTGAAACACGGCAGCCAGTTTTTTCGCACAGCAGCGTCGCACAAACAACAATATCCCAGAGTGAGGGAGCATTGCCTCAGTTGAATCTCTTGACAGTAAAGTTTTGGTGAAATCTCCGAGCTCTGCTGGGTTTTCTAGATCTGTGTGTTTTTTCAGCTGAGCAGAGCTGTCTTGTCAGGCAGTGTTGAGGCTGGGTGGCGGGTGGGGTGCAGTTACCAAGCAGTCCGCGTGCTGTAAATCCTACCTTGTAACCACATTTCAGCTGGAGCTAAAGTGGCTCACAGGTCAGGGCACTTTCCCTCTGGTAAATAAATACGGTTTGTTTTGCTGGAAAACCACGGCCTCCCCACCCTCCCTGCACTATATTTCAAGCACTGGTTGGAATGATTTCAAAAACATTCGGTGCCTTTGTAGAAGGACGTTGCTGGGTTACTTACTGTCTGACCTTCTGAGTTTGGCTGATACCTGACCGCATCCTCGTCCTGTTCCCTTTCCTCAGCAGCAGTTTAGTCACGGGGGGGGTTGGGGGGGGTGGTGGAGTTACGAAGGAGTCACTTGTGTTAACTTTATAGCTGATTTGCTTCACCTGTGGAATATTTGTTGCTTTGCACATTGCATAGAATGTGGAATGGTTAGAGCACTCGCCTCGCACGCGAGAGGACCTGGGGTTTGATTCCCGTCAGGGCGAAACCTTAGGCAAGTTTCCTTACTCCACACGCCTCTGTTTACCAGAACCTGGTTGTTACTTGATTGGCGGATCACTTTTCCAGGGGATAATAATCACAGAGGGTAATAATCACGACTGTTTGTGGGACATTACTGTGGGTAATTGGCTGCTGGGTTTCGCCCACAAAATATACAGTCAATTCACTTTACAACAACAACAACAAAATTGCATATGTATAGCACCTTTTACGTTGGGAGAACATCCCAAGGCGCTGGATAGTCAGAGTTTTTTTATACTTTACAGTATATTTCTTTACAGTATAATTTGTGAAGCGCTTTGAGACGTCTTGAAGACACTCTATCAAATGCAAGGATTAAGCGGCTTTGACTACAGGGTGTCCACACAGTCCTGTCACCTCCATGTTTGTTTCCTATAATGCACTGAGCAACATGCAGAAGAATGATAATAATTTAGAAGTGACTTCATTGTATTCAGTACAAGTGTTTAACTGTATTTAGATGTCGAGAGGGTCCGGGTCAGTATGTGGGTGGCAGAGTTCTGAATGAAATACATCTCCGACAGCTTGTTTCAGCTCCTCTGTAGTTAGTGTCATTACACTGTTTTGTAAGCGGGGGGGTAACAGGACTTTGTGGACACACTGTAGACAGGACCCAGGGCTTGGCAACCCTCTGCATGGCTTGTTATATGGGCGAGTTTAGTATTTTAATAGATTTATTTTCGATTCGTTATATTTTGATAGCCATTAGGAGTGAGTCTCCTGTGGGTTCCTGCCGGCGGAACTCAAAAGTTGCTGAGCAGCGAAGCTAAATACCTGACAATTCTTTAAATATTCCCTGTGAGTGAATGGGCTGGACACTGAGCTCAGACTTACACAACCCTGTGTGAGCAGGAATGTGTTGTGAGTTCGCCTCTGCCTGGCCTGGCTGGAATGTTAAGACTGCAGCTCTTGCTTTGAATCCATCTCCCAGAGGGAGGAAGCGTTCTCCGCTCAGCTCCACCTGAAAACATAAAGACCAAACGGCTGAGACTAATAATAATAATAATCCTTATTACAGCCGAGTCCCCACAAACAGTCGTGGGTTGAAGTGACCGATTTTTTTTCTAAAAAGGAATTATTTGGGGTCCAATGTGCAATATTTCTCAATGGGATTCCATAACAAGGAACGTGAGGCACACAAATGAGGGAAGCAGGAGAATGTATGGCCTCTAGGAGATGTAAATGGGATAGAGGGTCAGGCTCAGAGGTGTCAACAGCATTTCCAGTTAATCCTTATGTGCAAACAATAATCCCTGCATTTGACATTGTGGAGACGTCTTAAAGCGCTTCACAGGATGCACTGTATATTTTGTGGACGAATTTGGGGTCATGTCTCCCCCAGGTGGGGGGGGGGGGGGGTTGACTCCCTGCTCCCCGGTCACCATCTCTCTTTGTTTGCAGACCAGAGACGCCTCGTGGCCAAACAGATCGAGGACGCCTGGGAGGGAAGGTAACCCGGCAGCACGTCCCGCAACCCACCGCGGCGAGCGAGGGGCACAGACTCTGCACCGATTCCTCCCTGTCGGCAAACCCTCGGCTGAAGAGGGGAGAGAGAGAGAGGGAGGGAGAGAAAACTGTCTTCAACAGCTTCGGTCACTTGGCGAGCCTTATACACTGTCTTTATGATGTTCACAGCACCTGAACTCTGCACACGGGAGAGACTGGCTGAGTGGGGTGGGGGGGTGGGTGAGGGGGCAACTAGCCACGTTGAACATCCATTCCAAATGAACCCGCGGCTTGTTTGAGGAAGCAGAGTACAAAAACTAGGGTGTGTTTGAGAGAAGGAGAGAGAGAGAAGTGTGCGTGTGTGAGAGAGAGGCTTTTATTCTTAGAGGAACAGACGGAGATGCTTAGGAAATGGGTGATTTTCTATGTGCTGCTTAAGCAGGAATGCTCTGAAGGTGCTTTCATTCATTCACAAAATGCCGTGTGTTACATTGGCAGTAGCTCACACATAAGAGCCAGTTGTTGCAGGCGGCTGTTACAGGGCACCAGGGCTGCTTCACTGGGTTGACCTGTTCCCTGGGAGAAAGGGATCAGATCGACAGCTGTGGAAATTCTTTCAGTTTTGTCCGGGAAAAGAACACAAGGAATCCTGGAACTTGCAAGTAAACGGCTCCTTCCCCACACCCACCCGCCCACAACCACTGCTCTCACAGATACTCCCAAAGGAGTCATCCATCACCACCATTCAAACCAGCCCCCTCTCGCCCCCCCAAACACGCACACACATACAAACACACACAGATCTCATGGAGTCCTGTAGCGTAGTGGTCAGCACGCTGCCTCGCAAGTGAGAGGACCCCGGATTCGATTCCCGGGCTGGGCGAAAGCTTAAGCAAATTTCCTTACTCCACTCCACACCCCTGTTTACCCAGCAGTAAGCAGGAACCCAGTTGTTAGTCAATCGTGGTTCGCTTTCCGGGTTAATAATCTCTCTCATTTGGTCACTCAATCTACGTCTGTTCATAGGACACTGCTGTGCGCAATTGGCTGCCGCGTTTCGCCCACAAAATACACTTTACAACAACAATAATCCTTGCATTTGATATAGTGCTTTTCACGTCTTCTCGACGTCTGAAAGCGCTTCACAGAATATACTGTAAAGTGAATTGATTGTATATTTGTAACTACAATATATTCCGTGAAGCGCTTGTGAGATGTGTCAATAAGGCACTATATCAAATGCAAGAGTTATTTTTAATCCTGACGTCGTGTTAACATATCACTGATTCCCCAACTAAACACACAAACAAGTGAGATGGCTACTCGTGTGAGCTTGACTATGTGAGTTTGTGTGTGTGTGAGAGTGTGCCTTTATGTATTTGTGTGTTTATGCAGAAACACGGTGTATAAGAGTCTGTGTTTGGCTTTGCACTGACACTTCTGTGTTTTTTAGTCCAGTTAAATGACGCCGCTGTGAATAGTATTTTTATAAACATAATATCCAGCTTGTGTTTTTTGTCAATCTGCCTTCATCCTCACTTTCAAGGCCATCCATGAGCTTTCTAACCCTAACCCTACCTCTCTGACCTGCTGACTGGCTACCAACCTGCCCACTTCCTCTGTTCAGCGGGCTCTGGCCTGCTCCATGTCTCCTGCCCGACCTGCCCTACCATCGGTGGCCGGGCTTTCAGCCGCTCGCCCCCATCTCACGGTTCCTTCACCTCGCTTCCTCCCTCGCCTCCTTCAAGGCCAATCTCAAGACACTTCTCTTTGACCATGACTTCAGTCGCCCTCCCACCTCTCTGCCTTCCCTCATCCTTAATCCCCCCACACGCCCCCATGCTCGGGTTCCGACACCTGACTGTCCAGTGCCTTGGGACGTCCTCCCAAGGTGAAAGACGCTCTTTGTGGAGTCCTGTAAGACGCTCTATAAATGTCATTTTGTTGTTGTCAGTCAGCAGGGAGAATGGAGCCTTTGAAATTGCCCTATTTCATGACAATTTGGTATAAGGTATATCTGAAGTGCAATTCACATCTGGCTTCCCACACTGACTGACGGGTGTCCTATGAGCATTTTCAGTGACATCATTGGCCAACCAGAAAACCAGAACTATTGCGTGGCCATTTTTGTCATTTCCCCCCAGCTCCGCGCCCCCTACTCCCCCCAACCCTGAATAACAGGATTACATTGACTGGCAATGGGACAGACTTCACTCGGTTTATTTCAATAGTATTTGACACCAAAGAACATGGTCACTCTGAATTTTTACTTTTACCCTTTGCTCTCACAAGAAGGAGGTATTTATAGAAAAACTCTGTCTGTTCCATTCCCCTGCTCTCTCTCTCCCCCCATCGTGTCTTTGCTGATGCTCCCCCATTGGAGCTCTCTTCTCTAACCCCATTCCCTGCTCTCTCCCCATGCATTTTGATATTATTTTTCCATACTTTAATTGCCTTTTTCCTTATTTCAATTGCCTTTTAATTGCTGTTATGAACATTAACAACCATTGCTGATTCCATATTCCAATATTTCTGCTAAACTCCCCTTTTCCTGATGATAGACAGTTTATGTGCTTTGGTGACTGACTTTGAGTTAAAAATAGATTTTCTCTGATTACCTTTAACCAAAACATTCATCATTTTAAAAAAACAATCATTTAGATTTATCCTCATGACAACAGCCCCAACTGTTCAATCCTCTCTTTATAAAAACCCATTCAGTACTGGTAACATCTGAGTCATAGGAAAACATAGGAACAGGAGGAGGCCATTCAGCCCCTCAAGCCTGTTCAACCATTCTATAAAGTCATCGCTAATCTGTACCTTGATGCAAATGCCCGCCCCTGCCCCATATCCCTTGATACCCTGAGCTAACAGCTATCTATCCACCTCAGTCTTGAAAATGTGAATGGATCCAGCCGTAATCCACAGCTTTTTGGGGGGAGGGTTCCAGATTCTCACTAGCCTTCGGGTGAAAAACCGCCTCTTGATTTCGCTCCTAATTGGCCTAATAGGGCAGCTCCACTAGGAACATAGGAATAGAAGTGACCATTAGATTATTAATTACAATGATTAGACAATAATAATCCTTGATTTGACTTAGCCCCTTATCACACAGTTGAGATGTCTCAAAAGCGCTTCACAGAATGTACTGTAAAGTGCAGTGGCTGTATATTGTGGGCGAAACACGGCAGCCAATTGCACACGGTAGTGAGCGTCCCACAAACTATCTTGGATTCAGTGAGCGCATTATTATTATTCTTGTGGGAGGATAATTTATCTTTTTGCCTTTAAATCAGAGGCAGGCTGGAAACGTATCAAATCGTCAACTGGTAGAGCATAAAATGTTCAGTACCTGCCAAGCTTTCAGCTTGTAAATTTCAAGTCAAATTCTGAATTATTTCTTAAGAGGAGAGCAATAGTAATTGAAAATATACTGCATGACTCTCACTCATCTTCAAATCCCTTCATGCCCTGGCACCTCCCTACCTCTCCGACCTGCTTACTCTCCACCCCACTACCCGCTGCCTCCGCTCGACTGGCTCCGACCTCCTGCATGTCCCTTGTGGCCTCTGTTCCACAATTGGTGGTCGCGCTTTGAGCCACTGCGCCCTGAACCTCTGAAACACTCTCCCTCAATCCCTCTGCCCTTTTGCCCCTTCCTTCCTTCCTTCCCCATTTTCAGGTCGCCCCTGAAGGTCTTCCTATTCAACAGTGACTAAGGTCCCCTCAGCTCTCCCCCTGGCTTGGTGCTGTGCTCCGCACAGTCAAGCGCTCTGGGACCCTACCCTGCGTGAGAGACGCGATATAAGCAGCAAGTTGCTGTGACTGGATGTTCTATCTATAGCAGGGCGGCCACAACTGGTCTCAGTACTCAGGATTGTTGTAAAACCAACGCCTTGTACACGTCAAGCCTCGCCTCATTGTCTGTACTTTGTGGTTCGGCAAGTCCAAGCGATGGACTAAAATCTGCTTTGTATTTACAAATTTCAGTCTCCCTCCCCACACCCCCCTCCCAATCTCCCCCCAATGCAGACCGGTAGTTTGTGTGCCAGACTCCAGGCACACAAACAGAATGGGTGAGAATTCCTGGCCCCAAATCAATCCCAAAGAATTTCTGTAATCACGGGATTATGAAATTATCTGGTGATCACGAGGAGCGACTGTGCAGAATTCAGTAATAGTGAGTTGATCTTTTCTTAAGGCCTTTCTTTTTGAGCACAGTTTGGTTACGTTTCTCCCTCCCCCTCCTCCAGCTCAGACTCCCAGTCGGCTTCAGCGAAGCACTTTCCATGACGTGAAAAACAACAACGACGACTTGCGTTTGTATAGCAACCTTCGTGCGGGGTAGCGTCTCGGACAGCAATGGCGGACTTCGACACCGAGCCGGGAGGGGGAGGGGGCGAGAGAGGAGACGACCACAGGCACAGGAGAAGAGGAAGGTCTTCAGACATGACCTGAAGATAGACCAGGAGGGGGCAAGACGGAAAGATTGAGGTAGAGAGTCAGGCCGTAGTGGCTGGAAGCACGGCCGCCAATGGTGGAGGAGAGGGGCGAGGGATGTGCAGGAGCCTGGAGCCAGCTATGTATGTATATATTTAACAAGATGGGTCTGGATGAAGGCCATGTGATCTCATCCCTCCAGAATCCCAGCCTCACCTCACATGGAATTGCTTTTCAAATGAGTGACTTCCCCGCGGCTTGGTTGGTTGGTTGGTAGTAGAAATGAGATCAGAAAACCCCCGTCTTCATGTAGTAGGAGGGCTGTGAGAGTGGGGAACGCACAATCTTCCAAGGCCCTGGAGGCAAAATCAATCGGGTTGTTTTATTAATAGTCAATGCATTTGATATTGTGCTTTATCACCTTACAAAGGTGCCTCAATGCACTTCACGTGATATATTGTCAATTGAATTGACTACGTATTTTGTTAAGTAAGAGGAGCAGGACAGACCTGTTGCTATGTTCCTGTTGCTGCTGAATTGCCCGCCTCTGCCAGACAAGTGTCCTCAGAGACAGTTCAACCTCATCCCCTAACGCAACGCAGCACAAGAACAATACCCCCTCTGATAGGCATTGCTGGTAGTTTGGGTTTGAGTCAAACATGTGGAGAATGCAACTTTACGAGGTTGGAATGAATGAATGGGTGCAAGTGTGCCAGAGTGGCCTGGTGCCCTCACACTAAAGGAACATTTAGAGCAGAGACCAAGCCAGGTAAACACTGTGGCCTGGAGCCTGATTTGTGCCAGATTTCGTTATTGAGCCGTAAGCACTGCGGATGAGAAGCCAGGCCGGCTGGGCATGACCGACCCAGATTTTTCCATGTTTACAGCACTTCCTGTTCCTTTGTTCAAACATCGTGGTGGAATGGGTCACTGGAAGAGCCAAGTTTCTCATCTGTAAACATGTTTAGTCTCTTACTCAGTTAAGACTCCTTTAGCCAATGCCTTACTCACTGGTGTATGCGCAATTTTTCCAGTGATCAATCTTGTTGGATTTGTAGGAAAGAAACATAGGAACAGAGTAAGCCATTCAGCCCCTCGAGCTTGTTCTGTCATTCTATAAGATCATGGCTGATCTCTACCTCAACTCAAATTACCTGCCCCTGCCCCATATCCATTAATACCCTGACCAAACAAATAGCTGTCCAACATGTTGATTTTTAACAACAACAAAATGACATTTATAGAGCGCCTTTCATGACGGAGGATGTCCCAAGGTGCTGGAAGTCAGGGGTCAGAGCCCGAGCATGGAGGAAGAGTGGGGTAGGGGTGAGGGAAGGCAGAGAGGTGGGAGGGCGACCAAAGG